GACGGACGGACGGACGGACGGACGATCATGCGATTCTACAAGCTGCATCTGACTATGTCAGATGAGCTAATAAATATTTCTACTTTTTCACAAAATATAAGTAATTCTGTTCACAGGGATGAGATTGGAGAATTTTATTTTCAGCTGAAATTGAAATTAGCAAACAGAGGAGCGAGCAATGCGAGGACCGGAGGTCATCGCCATGCCACTGGATTCCGGGGGCATGCTCCTCCGGAATTTTTTTTAAAAGAATGGTGCAATTTGGTGCATTCTAAGCTATTCTGAACACATTATAGGAGAATCTTGAATCACTTTTCCAAGTTGTTAAAAGGAACAAACGAACTATGAGTAGGAAAATTTGCCCTCGGGCAAGTAGCTTGAAATTGCACTTGCCTGTTCGGGCAAGCAATATTTTTTATTAAATGTCTAGACATAATGATATTTTTCTGTTTCCCCCTGTCGCTTGCATTGTTTTACTCAGACATAAGCTGCCTTGCTGCGACGAGATTTGAATGAAAAAAATACAATGCGAATAGAACAATCAGTGCATAGTCATGAACACAACATGCACAGAGCAACATGTAAACCCGGCCCCCAGGCCAGGCATGGTCGTTACGTGATCAGCTACCTCAAATGTCTGCCCCTCTACTGCAGCCTGTGAACGAGGATTTTCTTTTCTGGTACACAAAAACAGATACAATGTATACTTCGCTGTCAGTCTACTGTCAGGTGCTGTTGAGGGTATATAATTTAAATTTTTACGTTGTTACCCCCCCTCCCCCAATTTTCTCAACGAATTTAGACGTTTCACAAAATCGACCCCTGGGACTGTCAAATTCGCGGATCTGCGGAAAAATCTCATCCCTGTGTTCACTTTTTATGGTTAAATTGCTGCATTATACTTCCTGTTTTACTATATTGTTCGATGTGAACATACACTCGTGACTCATACATAGCCCATAGCAAGCAATTAATGTTGGGAACATTAATATCAAATAGTCTAGGTTTTTTGGATTTTTAACTAGTTGAGAAACAATCTTATCAGGTAAGAATTTGACGATACGTTTAGTCCCATTAGTTCTTACTTTTAATGTAAAAAAATAGCAATTTTTTTTACAAATTTTACCCTAGAAAATTCGTGACATAGTCAATTGAAGGGGGCATAGTCTCTGTGAATTTTGAATCTATTGAAGCACGATTAGTCTAATTAATTAGCAAATATACACGTGCGGTATCGCTCATAGGCTAATACGCGCGGCTATGGCCGGTAACAAAGTGTACTAACTATCATATGGTGCGAACGATTTGAGTTACATTGCTATAAATTCTAGCTATTATAGTACATGTCTTAGCACAGGCCCTTGGAGGCTCAAGTTTCAAGAAGAGTACCTATAACTATAGCTCATAGGGTCTATGTCCCCCAGGGTATACTGCCGGAACGTACCCGGGGTACGGTCCGGTATACCGGAACGTACCCTGGTCACTATTTGATATGGTTAGGGGTAGGATTAGGGTTAGGGTTAGGGTTGGGGTTAGGGATCGAGTAGGCGTAGGCGACTCCCTAGACTCGTTAGTGGAGTAGGCGAGGTACGGTCCGGCATATTAGATAGTACCAGGTTATGTTCCGGCAGTACCTGTTACGTGCTGCGCAGCCACGAAGTCACAGTCAAAACCAGAACCAGTGGGTAAGGTTTACACAAGCATTTTATTCAGCTACTCAACCGTGGAGTACACACACGTGTGCTCCGTGCCCTGTCCACTGCCCAACTGCCCGTGTACACACGTGTACCTTACACCCATCTATAGCCACGTGTGCCGCCACCTAGTGGCTGACTAGGCTATTCCAAACACTTAACATCTTTCCCCTTTTGGAAAACTCGATCTAACTCAACACCACTCAACACTACTTCTTAAGTCCTGTGACAATAAGAATGTCTTGACTTCTTATGAAGACTTCTTATGTCTCATGACAATAACACAACCCAAAATTATTGAAATAACAGAACACACAACAAACCATCTTCACAGTTCTCGTAGGTAGTGTGACCTAACGTTATCGCTTCACACGAATATAAGAATATAACTTATATCACATACCATCACTACATCACGAATTATACCGTCGTGTGCCACCGATACGTGTTACAAAAATAAATGATCCTAAATGAATAAAATAAAACCCCTTAACATACGATGTGACACTATCATCCGATACTACTGATGCCTCTTCTACTGCCTAAACCTCACAGGCATTTTAATAGTTCTGCCGGATCTGGTTAGCCTTACATCGTGCGATTGGCACTTGCACGAGCGCTGCCGGCGACGTCGCTTGACTGTGTGAAGAAAGCGACCTTGACCCTCTCTATGTGATGACATAGCTTTACGGCGGGCCCTAGCTTCAGTTCAAGGTGCTCCTGCACCGTAGGCAGGTTGAGCAGCAGCAGCGCCTGACCGTCAATCTCCTGTTCCCTGAGGATGCGAGACATGTGAGCGCACTCTGTGTTCTCGATGAATCGGGCGACGTCGTCCACCGACCACTCCAGCGGGTTCTCCTTCAGCCTCTCCAGCTTCATCTTTAGTTTCGGTCGCACCGCGATGGGGACTCTCCTGTTGGCCATCACCACAGGTATCGCACCAGCACGAACATTACGATGCTGGGTACCGGGTAGTTTTCCCAGCTTCTTATCATAAACCTCTGCGAAGGCATCTTGTGTGGACCTTGCAGCGACCACGTCGAAGTTGTCACGTTGAACTTGTATGAGGTTCATTTGCACACTCGTCTGGTAACCTAAAATAGGTTGCCTCTCATCATCAAACACAAGAAAGGGCACTGAGTATCTTTTGTTGTTCCTCGGGTTAGTCACCCTCATATCGACATGTCCGCGCAGTTTGTGAACAGCCTTGTTCCAATCTTTAGTACCCTCTATATGGCTCTATCTTGTCTGCAAATCTGGATGGCAGCATGTTACAGACGCCGCCGGTGTCTATCTGAAAATCGACTTTTGAGCCGCCAACCATCATCCGACACTTCGTCATCCTACTGGTTGGGGACAACACCTGTGACAGCTTGCACAGACAGCCTTTTCCCCCTGAGCTGTGACTGTATTGCACCACTCATAATCTGAGTCACTAGCAGATACTCGCATCATAATACTCTTCCTTTAGCTGATTCACCCGGCCCCTACCAGTCCTGAAGGGGCCGATACTCTCTGTTTCTGTTGTCGCGTCTCATGTTGTCTGGGCATTTTGACTTAAAGTGATTCTTCTCACCGCATATGTGGCACGTCTTGCCAAAAGCTGGACACTTTTCTTTCTTCATGACGTGAGAGAAGTTGCAAAATCTGCACTGTTCTTTCTGCAAAGTTACATACTGCTTATCCTTGACCTCGGGAAATCTTGCCCTTATTTGTGCACAGTATCAGGCATAACTGGCTTCAATGCTCTGTCACACAACGAAGCAGACTGTGCAGCCCTGCACACATCAATGCACCTGTCAAGGTCAAGTTCTCTTATCTTTAGCAAATCTTCTCTCGTTTCATTTTTCTTTATTCCAGCCACAACTCTGTCTCTTATCATAGAGGCCTCGCACGCGCTGCAAAACTTACAGGTTTGCTGCCAGTGTTCTGAGGTCTGCCAGGAAGTGATCAAAGTCCTCCCCTTCCTGCTGACAACGCCGGTGAAATAAAAATCTCTCCATGGTCTCATTCACCTCACCTATGGCATATTCTTGAAACTTCCCTGTAATTTCAGTGACAGTTCTCTGTGACTCGGGCGTTGAAAAGCGCAAAACCACTGAGCGTTTTCATCGCATCGTCAGCGAGACAGTTCTCAAGCATTGCTACCTGAAACGCACGGTCTTTCGTGTGTAGCCCAGATAACAGGTTGTAGTTGTCCCATCTTTTCTTAAACCGTTTCCAACTCCCTACCTTGTCTTCTTCCAAAGTCAGGGCTGTGGTGGGCTTTATGCTGCCAAGTTGTAGCTCTGCCTGTCAGGCTCACTGCCACGTGTCATGCGCGTCTCCATTTGACTTGTGAATCTTTCTCCAGCCTCTAACACAGCTCTTCAAAGACTTGCCTGTATCACACAGCTGTCCACAGATGTCCTATCATGTGCCTGGTTCACGCAGTTTACCGCTGCCACCATGTTACGTGCTGCGCAGCCACGAAGTCACAAGTCAAAACCAGAACCAGTGGGTAACGTTTACACAAGCATTTTATTCAGCTACTCAACTGGTAGGGGGACATAGACCCTCTCAGCATAACTATAAGGCTATATTAAGAGCAAAGTGGAATACGCTTCG